AATAAAACATTTACTACCTCATTTTAAGTATATGCCTGTTCAGTTAAATAATCACCTAAAAATTAACCCTTTGCATTCTTATACCCAAAGAATTAATTTGACATAGTCAATAATTTAAATGTCTTGCTGTAGCATTTAAACCTCAAAACAAATTCCGATAGTATAAAGCATCCTAGACCCTTACCTCAAGAATTCATCTACCTATCTGCTTCTCACCAAATATACAATGAATGCTACCAGACCTCAAGTATGTTCTCAACTATCAGGTTAAATAAAAACTCTTTCCTGAATCAGGAATCAAAATACTTTCTTTTTACTTGCTGGCTGATCTTTAACAGTTCATTAAGATGTCATTTCTATTTAGAAGTACTGACTTTTATGGCCTGCCTATTCTTGAGGAGGCAACAATAATAAAAGAAATCCAATATGCTAAGAATATTCTTCTATGACTTCTGAAAATAAATTCAGTACTGGAGGCACTGGTCCAAGGGAGAGAACAGTGAGTAGATTCTTTCTTCTTTAGCTTTCCAGTAATGACATTGGCAAATGCAGTTTTAAAAAATATACAAAATATGAATAATACTAAAAAACCCTGAGGAAATTTGTGAGTGATATTAGGAAACAAGTGTACAGATATTAAATACCATCCAGCTTTAAATGTGTTTAAATAAGACCTTTCTTATGTTCAAAGGTGGCCTTGTGTTCAGTCTTCACCTTCATTATCATAAGGCTTAATGCAAATTTATGATCTATTCTGACTCCCTTTCAAATGCAAATGCCTCCATTTGGGTTTAAATCATCCTTAATCTCGACTTTGCTGGCTCAGTGGAATGAATCTCCCAGGCTGATGAAGCCAAAGCAGCTGTAGGGATGAAGAACATCAGCTATAAACTAGACCATGCTGTGCATATTGACTGTAATCTCACATCATGTCCACCGATTTATGACTAGGCTTGGTTACACCAGTTCTACCACTCTTGAGGATAACTGTAGTCAACACATTAAAAATACCTATAGGGGAAGTATCACATATGCTTCCATACTAAACAATCTTTGCTTGGCATCTAAGTGTAAATGAAACTGTTAAAAGCCCTCATCAAACTGACACCATGTCCTCCAAACAGATGGTCCTGAATTCAGGCAGCCAGGATGTCATATTTGGACACAGTCTATGTTTTCAGAGCACATGGTTTTAAGCCAAGAATGTTTCCGTGGCTGAATGTCCCAAGTTCATTCCAGTCCTGCCAGGGTATATAGCATCCCCCATCAGAAAGGACTAAACATAAAATAGAGGATTGTTCAATACAGCAGAATGTGAGCTATAAGTCAAATTTTATCACAAAGGGTGGAAAAATGCTTTCAAGTTAAGGTCTTAACGAATTTCAGCTCTTAAGACCTTTTTTGAAACTGGCAAAATGCAAACTGTACCTATTCCACCCAGTTTTATTTAATTTTACTTAAGTATTTTCAGCACGCCTAAGTGAGCTGAGCCCACTGTACTGTTTCATTGTTGCTGCTTGTATTGGCTCCACATGTTACATGAGAGGAGCAGAGCTCACAGCAGTAGCAAGATTACTGCAGCATGTCTCATGAAAATGGAAAGTTGCATCAGGGTGACAAAACGTGACTGCTAACTTGGTAATTCTGCAACACAGATCAGAAATATGATCGCTTAGTGGTTATACAATTAAAATTTCCAATACTATATGCAGAAAGTCATTTGAATGTATGACAAGGTTAGATTTTAATGTTCTTTTTTTTTGTTTTTTTACAGTCCCCACCCTTTAAGTTCCACGAGTTCATAAAGATGCTTTAGTAATTACAAATGGGAGTAACAGATCTGAGAAAGCTGTAAAAAATGAAAGCTCATTTACCCATATATTGTGTCTAATGATTCTTTCTATTTAGTGGATCTGACAAAATTTCTTACAAATTCATTGTATATGTAAACCTGACCTGATGCCTTTCAAAGTTCCAAATATTCAGTTACACATCTCTGAGAATAAGACTCTACATTTATTTGACTGTAACCCTTCTGCAGTCTTTACCACAAATAAATTGTTAATACTAATTCTAACACATACATAAAAATAACACACACCTAGAAGCTCTTGGCAAGTCACCAACTCTTGTACAATGTTTGTACAACTATTGTACAATGATAGAGCACAATGTACTCTATCTTAAGTCAGATTCAAAGGAAAATACAGGAAAAACAATACTGTATTAAAAAATATTTTAAAAAAACACTAAAGAAAGCATAAATCAGTTTTAGAAAATCTTACTGAAATGCTCCAACATCAATACTATCTTTTCATCATCTAAGGGATTATAAGTCAAGTTGCTAATATGCTGCATTAACTGGATGATTTTATATATGGGTATGAGAAAAAAATCCTTGTTTTGAAGTGAAGTAATAACCAATAGGATTAAAATTATTCTGTAGTTAATTTTTGACATTACTTTTGATTTTGTAAATGTGTTTGTATTTATTTGTTCTCATTCTGCCTATCACAGTCCCTCAGAAACTAACTTTACCAAAAGATTTGGTGGTATGAAAAAATGTAATCTTTGTTAGAATGGAAGACAGAATCCACAGAAAAATGTAGAAGGCTTAAACTCAGTGATGAGACATTGGCACTACCAAAACTTGCTCTTAATACTGCTCAGGAAAATCTCAAGACATTCTTCCTGTGATTTGTAATACATTGCACATTAGTCTCCAACACTGAATGATCACTTAATCTTGTCTTTCAGAAATGCAAAGTTACGCTCTTGAATTGAGTTTCTACATATGTTTCAGTGAACTCATTCAAGGAAAGTCTTATTGAATAGACTGAACTAGGATAACTTAAATTGGAAGTTATAAACACAGTGATCACAGCCAAGAGGTCTCTAAGCCAGTCAAAAACTGTAAGAATAATATTTATTACTGTTGTGCTACAGAAGTGCTTATGTTGAATAATGAAATAAAATCCAATTGAAATATTCATCCTATGCAAATGCCTTCAGCTGCTGCTTCAGGTCAATACCAACAAAATTACTTCTCCTATATCTGAAAAATTTAAAGAACACAAAATTAGCTGACTACATTCTTTAGGATAGCACAAAGGTTATACAGCTATAAAAGACAAGCAACTCCTTTTTATACTTCTAGCCTTAGAACTATAAAATAGTACTGTATCTCAACAAAGTAAGGGTGCAAACATGATCTTGCAGAGTTTTCATATAACAGGCACTGCATTTCACAAAACTATCAGGAGTTATCAGACTTTCAGAAAATCAGTACTTTAGTCAGTAAGAATTTTAAAATCCATCATAGTAAAATTCCTGATAAGAAATCACTTCTTATCAGGTAACTGATGTATTTTCAAATGTTACATGATACATGAAACAAAAGTTCCATGATACAACTTTATTTTTTTTTTAAATTCAGTATATTTGCTTGAAGTAGCAACTGATTTCATTGCTTGAGTCAAAGCCACCTTTGAAACTAGCCAATCAGTTTCACTGTTATAAGTACCTTTGTCGAGTGAAAGTCGAATGAAATCACCAGTGAAAATTGGTGATTTATTCACACTAGGAAAATACAGAAGTTCAGTCCAAACTTTGGTTTGAGATAACTCTGTATGAGTCTCATCTTTCCCTCATGCTTAACATCTCCTCTCATTTTATACAACATAAATATTTTCCCAGATGTATAATATATATATAAGTAGGGAGAAAGAATGCATATATTTTTAAAATGCTTATTTTCCCTTAAATAATATTACCAGATTATTTCCTCTAACATTAAAGCACTAGAATCTTAAAACAGAAATAGTCCCTCAAGTTCATACGTGAGATAAATTTGAACATACTCTCTTCATTACTATTATTTACTAATTAATATGATAATATTGAAGTAATTACTTTTCAAGCAAAATAAGGACCCCCTGAAGAAAATGCAGAGGAGAAAACCAAGCACAGTCTGTGAGCTAGTGAAGCAAGAGGCTTGCCAAGCAAATGTGCTTAATCTCCACTGCAGCAAAGCAGGAAGAGAGGCTGATGAATTCAAAAGATTGTGCCAGTGGCTCTGAGTTGTTTGAGGAGCAGGACATACACTGAGGGTCACAGTGCACTGCTGTGTCTTTTCTTGCACAAAAGGTTAGATGAAATGCGTAGATTTACTCTAGAGAGGAAACACATAGAAGCTTATAACACAAACACACTGAACCTTCAAATATGTAAAAGAATGCCTCAGCAAAGAAAATAGCAAACTAGCTTCCACATCCATGTCTAACAGAGAAGAAAACATGACTTTGTTTTTCATCAGCTAAGACCCTTAGTTCACTTTTCAAGGCACTGCCCACCCACATGAAACTTACTGAAGAGCCCCTTTGTTTTCCAGTGCAGCTCTTCAACTTACGAAAATCAGTCTAAGATCTGACACACTCCCTCAAAGGTTCCTCTTGCTAGATAAATGTCAGTGTAATACTTAACTGGGATAGACTACACTGATTTAAAACTTGTGATATCATAACCATAATAAACATTACAAATCACTCTCTGCTTGCAACTAGGCACAGTTAGTCATACCACATAGCAGTGAATTGTTGTATGGGGAAAAAAATATGTCTGGTTTGCATTTTTTTTATCTGCTGTGTTATTAAAATTAAGTACATCAGTAGATTTCCTATGTCACAGTTTTGTTTCCAAAAGTAACATTCAATATTTTGTTTACAACACAACTGTCTTACTGCAGTAAAAAAATATGTTTTCAGAAACCATTACTTACCAGTAAAATTGCAAGTCTAGATCCTAAAGACTTGAAAAGATAATAGACTTTGAATGCAGCACAAAGGCACATGGACCTTTTGGACATTACAGAATATCTTAAAGATAGTGTAAGGCTGAAAGAGTGAGCCACACTTGTTTTAATTCTCAGTTTAAAGAGGATTTAATTTTTCAAAACAATCCATATATACTACAGTACTGTGTAAATAAATAACATAAGTTACCTGCTTGGTCTTTAAATATTTTTGATATGACGACAGGCACTTTGTGCTCAGCACCACCCTGTAAAAGACATGTATTAACCATGAGATCTCAATTAAGACTGATGTGAATTAGCTGTACTGAAAAATTAAAAGAAGAAATGAGAAGGGATCCATACCTTTATGCTTAAGCCCAAGCCACCAACTGGTTGTCTATGAAGTGTAACAGTTCTGTGCTTTAAAAAATTGTAGAAAAAATAAATCTAGGTGAAAACACAATATCTGAATAAGCATAGAAGATGCTTTTAAACTTTCTTTTTTTACTTTTCGAAAATTCTTTCTCAGAGATAGCCTAGACTCTAAGTGATCCAGTTCTGAAGTCTCATTCAACACCGATTTATAGGCACTTATTTAATTCCTTACCATAGAGAGAAGAATTTGTGTGTGAATTCTGTATGCAGACTTTCAGTATGATTCTTTTTTTGTATGGCTTAAGCAATATTCTTCCTAAACAGAAACTTTTTACATGCTTTTGTTTTGAGATATGCATTTTCATAGTTATCATGTATGCATGATATTTAGTCTCATTTTTCAATCACAAATACCAACCTTTTCTAATCCATATCTTCAGACCTTTACCATTTTTTCCAGTATATGCCAAAAGACTTTTAGTGAAAGTCTGCTTCAAATGTTTATTTTCTTGTGTTTCATATTTAAGTTCATAAAGAAGAAAACATTTATCAATATTTTTCTACAGCAACCTATCATATGTTTAACAGTATGCTGAATTTGACATTTCATTAGTATGTAACTCTTGGTGCCTGACAACATAATAATAGCACTTCATTGGCTGACAGTAATTATAGAGTTGTGGGGAATTTTTTTGCAACATGATGAACAGCACTGCAGAGAATGACATTTTTACAGAACTTCCTGAACATATAGGAGGTTATATTTAGATCAGATATTAGGAAAAGGTTAATTCCTGTGAATTAACCTTAGTGAGACACTGGCGCAGGTTGCCCAGAGAAGCTGTGGCTGCCCCATCCCTGGCAGTGTTCAAGGCCAGGTTGGACAAGGTTTTGAGCAATGTGGTCTAGTGGAAGGTGTCTGTGCCTGGGAAAGGGAGGTTGGAAATAGATAATCTTTAGGGTTCCCTTTCTACCCAAACCACACTGTGATTCTATGATTATTTATTTTCTCCTTTTCAGTAGATAAGAAAATATATGTGAGGTTACTCCTATATGTATATTTCCTGTTGGGTATTTTACAATTTCACTAATTTTGCTAAATATAAATTATTATTTCAGTAGTCAAGCCCATAAATTTCAGATGATATTCAGCCCTACTGAAATCTGTGCTAATTCAGATTGTTTCGTAGGTTTTCTTCATTTTGAATCGCATCAAAACTTTTTATCTAAATTATCATACTCACTGACAAAGCTCTGATTCAATCTGAATTAGAATATGGGGCTGTTCATCTTGCAGAAGAGAAGGCTGCTTGGAGACCTCATAGCAGCTTTCCAGTATTTGAAGGGGGCTTATAAGGATGCTGGGGAGGGCCTCTTCATTAGGGACTGTAGTGACAGGACAAGGGGTAACAGGTTCAAACTTAAACAGGGGAAGTTTAGATTGGCTATAAGGAATAAGTTCTTTACTGTATGGGTGGTGAGGCACTGGAATGGGTTGTCCAAGGAAGTTGTGAATGCTCCATCCCTGGCAGTGCTCAAGGCCAGGTTGGACAGGCCCTTGTGTGGTATGGTTTAGTGTGAAGTGTCCCTGCCCATGGCAGGGGGGTTGGAACTAGATGATCTTATGGTCCTTTCCAACCCTAACTGTTCTATGATTCTATGATTCTATGACTCTACCTTTAAATTCAGTGACTCATTTCCAAGAAAAAAATTTCTATGACATAAATCCTGTCTGCTTGTTTAATTCATGTTTCTTTTCACATATGCTTATACCTTGTAAACAAATTATCCCAATATATCCCATCACATAGGGGTGATGGAATAAATATTTAGATTGCTTTAGCATTATCAGACAACAAATAGAAAACCATTACATGGATAGCTTTAGCCATTTTATGAAAGACAAGCAAGGTATTATTTATTGGCATCTTACATATTCAACTGCCACTAACATGTATTTCATATGGTTGATAGGTACATTTCAAATTATAATACTGATGATATAATTGAGATTGTAGCCCTATGAAGCAATTTCTTTATATAACATTGTAATAATAATTTTTATGATTTCATAGTTCATAGCATTGCTTATTTCAGAGCTTCAATATTTCTATGAAAGACACTTTGAAATAAGGTACTTATCACGTACCTCAACATTTCCTTTGTAACAGATTTTTTAACTAGAGCTACATTTGAAAAATGCAAAAAACTTTCCTTTAAAGATACGTAAAAGTAAAATGCCAAAAGCTGAGGATCATCAAGTGTCATAACTAAAATCATCTACACAAGCTGACAGAGATAGATTTTTTTTTTTAATTGATTTTGAATTTCAACAAGTTGAACAGTGTACAATTCCAGGATATTAGAAGAAAGTTAATACTGGGTCAATATTGAAAATATATAAATAGAGCCATAGATTTTCATTATATTACAATACTTTAAGGTCAGATGATCATAAATCTGGCAATGAACTATCTATTCCATTATGGATTAATGGTAAAACCAATTCACAAGGATTTATAGAGAAATAATTTTAAAGAGGAAAAGTTTTATGGAAAAAACCTTTTCAATTTACATGAATACTTGTTATGAAATTTAAAATCTTGATAACAGAGTACCAGTCTTGTAATAACCCTAGCAAGGCACTGATCTGACACCCTAAAAAAGCTTGATCAAAAATGTAAAACAATTTAAAATAATATTGCGTAGTTTAAGCACGTGTAAATTGGCTAACTAAAAAAAAAAAACAACTCAAAATGTAATTGAGATAAAGGAAATATTTAGTTGCTATGCTTCTTGAGGGATAATGACAGTACATAGATTACCTTTAAAAAAATTAAAACCAGTGGTCTGAAAAAAAAAATCTACATTAATTGCAATAAATTTTTAGGGACTATACTTGTAATAAGGGTAATGATGGACAGGCTCCAAGCATACAGAACTTTAAGGTCATTTAAGGTCATCCTTGTAATTAAGAAAACAGCTGAAACAAATAGAGAAAAGCACTCTATCGACCTCCAGAATTTGGTCTTCCAAAAAAACCTAAACTTGAGTCATGAGGACTATGAGAAAAACCTCCATTCCTGCTGAAAGCCATGGCCAAAATCACTAGTATAATCCTGCAACACTGGGTGACTGTTAAGAAGGAACACAAAGACTATAAATTATTTCTGCACCTGGCAGTGATCCCCACTTTAAATAATGCAGGTAGTTCTGATACGCTTATTTTGAAAATGATGCAAAGAAATTGAAGAGGTAGCAGGCAAGAGCCACAGGAGCACCAAATACCTTGAGAGATTTGTGTAGTAGTGAAACAGATGCCAGGAGTTAAATATATTTACCTTTTTCAAAGCACTTTTCAGAGGTGGTTAAGCACAGTTTTAAAGCATCTTCCTTGGCAGAAGACAGGTAACTCTTACAGACAGATGCAGTGAAAATTTCAGTAAGTTGAAGTGGAAAACAGACACACCCAGACAAGCTTTTAAACTTGACACACCACAGACTTTTTAAGAAACACTATTCTAGTAGTAACATGGCTTTGAGACCTTACAGTATACAGCTATTTCTTTCTTAATCCTTATTTAAAGCATAATCTGTCATATTATTTCATGAACACAACTTTAATTTAGTTCTAAACATAGTATTATTAAAATACTTAGGGCTTTTTTTGTCCTAGTAAGCAGTACAATATTTAGGTACATCTACATAATTAAATTAGTTTCCCAGCCTGCATATATATCCTCATTCTGCAGAGCAAGAATGCAGGCACACAAAGACCCGGGGACAACTATTCTGTCCTAGTGATGTGAAATGCCTTAATATTTTTTCTAAGTATTTGTATGAACTTTATTTGTTCAAGGGATCTTGTTGACCAGCTTCAGCCTTAGCTTTGAATGTTCAGCATTTTAACCCATTATAATTTCAGATTAGAAGGGATGCACCTAATACATAATGCCTGATTGACAGTGTTAATTTGGCATAATTCTAAGTTTCTAATATTTGACTTTGCAACTTCATTTTAAAGGAGGAAATGAATTTTTTTTTTTTTTGGTAAAACCTACAAATTCACATGGCTCACTATAGGCTAGTTTCCATTTAGTCCTTCATTTGGACCATTAAGTTGATAAAATAGATGCTCACTACTCAAAAAAAAAAAAAAAGGTAATTTAGAGAAGAAAATCTGTGGGTAAGTGGGTAATTTAGAGATTTAGAGGAGATTCAACATTAATTACCTGCTGAATTAGATTTCAGGTTTTGTAGGAAAGTATGCTAAACAGTAATTATTCTCTTTTATCTGACCTCTGCACTCTGTCCCCTCTAACTTATCCTGTTATCCTATTCTTTTTTCAGGACCTATATTTAATTTTGTTCCTCTTGATCTCACAACTCAAAATTCAGGAAGATATTTTTCACTTCTTCAAACCAAAGAACAGACTGTTTGTCTTACAATTCATGTCTCACAAGCCATGCCTATGCTAAAATAAAGCAGTCTGGAGGATTTTCCCCAGCAAAGCAACACAGTAAAACTCCCAACCAACACTACCAAATTTTCTTTCCTTGAAAACATGATGACTAATACTGCCTAACTGGAACACTACATGACACATGTCATCTCCTGATTTGGTCTGAGGCATTGTTTAAGAGAGCTGCAATTCATATTGTCCAAAACTGAGACACAGAGTACACCAACACCCATTATAGGCAATTTGGCACAAGTTAAAATGCAGCCAGAGACTGCTCTCACATAGACAACTGTGGGCCAATGTTGAACATGTGCTACAGCATGTGTTTTATTTTTTAGAAGAGATAAAGTCACATAGACCTGTGTATGATAGTATGCAGTCCATAAATAGAAAGGAACAGGACACTAATATACATTAACTACAAACACAGATGTAAATTAAAAATTTCTAATTATCCCTACAAGTACTGGTGGCATTGGCAGTCATGTACAATAAAAGCATACATGTAAAATAATATACATCTTAGTAGTAGATTTTATTTAAATTCAGATAGAAAAGCATGTAACATTCTGACAGCTGTTC